AGGCCAGTGCACCAGGCCCTGCAGCACGGCCCGCCCTCCGCAGGTGCTCGGGAGCGCTGTCGGGGTTGGGACCTCTGCGGGGCTCAGCGGGCTCAGCGGCCCAGGCCCAGGTACAGGGGGCACCTGTGCAGGATGCAGGAGGCCCTGTGGAGGCCGCAGGACCGCACTGGGAAGCGGTTCCGACCCGCTGACAGGGGTGGGGGCACAGGGAGGGACAGGGGACGGGGGCACGGGGGACATGGGGGGACATGGGGGGACACTGGGGGGACACAGGGGACATGAGGGGACATGGGGGGACGGGGGACGGGGACACAGGGGGGACACGGGGAGATATGGGGGGACGGGGGACACAGGAGGGATGGGGGACACAGGGGGGAACGTGGGGGATGGGGAGGGACACGAGAGCCACCCATACAGGCTGCTGCCCAGGTCCTGGGTGTCCGTGGCCCAGCTCTCTGCGGCTGGGCCAGCGGGTGAGGGAGGCCACCCCACGTGAGGGCTCCTCCCTGGGCGCCGCACCCCTCGCCCCGGGCCTCCCCTCCTGGGTCGTCAGGGGCACCCTGGCCCAGCCTGGGAGCAACCAAGGCGCCACCACCTTCCTCCCAGGCCGCAGGCCCCGCAGCCTCCGCTCAGCGGCCGGGGCAGGGGAGCAGGCAGGCGAATTCCGCTCCCCTGCGGCTCCCGACCCACAGGCCGGTCCCTGGTGACAGGTCCCTCCTCCTCCTCCTGTAACAGGAGCTCGGCTGCTGCTGGCGTCGGAATCAAACACATCACTTCTTCCGCGGAATCCCGGGCCACACTGAAGACAGAGTGAAATGCACCCGGGCCCGGCCCGCCCCGTGGGCATAGCCTCCATTTGGGGTTCCTCTGGCTTTTGTTCTTGGTGGGAAGGTGGAAACATTGAAACCCAGTCTCTCCCTCGGAGACGTGGGATTTGGTTAATGTTTGGGGCAAACTGAGGCTGAACATGAGGCAGCTCGGGCGACAGGACAGCGACACCATCTCCAAGCGTGCAGCTCCCTGGGGGTGGCTCCCGGCCGCCGCCCCGCACAGGCCTCAGGGGGCTGCGGGGTGGTGCAGGGTCCCCGCCGGGGTGGCTGCAGCGGTGCCCTACGTGCCATGGTGGGCGCTCGGCACAGTCATCCCACGGGCGCGGGCCTCACTCGGGGCTTGAGCGTCACCCCCCGTGGGCGCTGTGCGTGTCCGTGTCGAGGGCACACCTGCCTACTTTGACCGTCGGCCCTGGGGACACAGGGCAAAAGCTGTGCTGAGAGCAGAGGCCGGGTGGGAAACGGGCCAAGTACGTGACCCCGGCCTCTGCAGGGGTGCGGGGGTTCTGGGCTTTGCTGGCGCTCAGGGCGGCCGGGCTGCGGGACCGCGGGGCACAGCTGCATCGGGAGCCCCGGCCACGTGATGGCCGCCGTGCTCGTCATTACCCTCATTCCACCAGAAGGCTCCACGCTAGGAAGTGGCGTTCCCCGCGAGGTCCTCGCCCCACCAGATGTCCCAGCCGATGGTCTTAGGCAGGGAGCCCCGGGAGCATCGCGGTGGCTGGCGGCTCCGGCCATCTGGATGTGAGTCCCGGATCTCCACACGCGCCAGCGGGGTGACCTGAGAGATGGAGCTGACGTCTTCGGGCCTTGGCCGCCCTTCCTCAAGATGGATACGAACAGCGTCTCCCTGCAAGGTTGTCGTGAGGCCGCAGGAGCCTGTACCCGCCACGTGCCCGGAGGAGTGGGTGGGGCCCACGGGCGCCCAGAGCTGCCCCGTGAGAGTGGGGTGAGTGTGGGTGAGTGCGGGCCGGTGCCCGTGTCCCGGGGACGCAGCGGCGGGAAAGCGTGCGCAGGGCCAGGTGGGGGCCGCCGTCCGGGAGGCCTGTGAGCCGAGCCGCAGCGCCCTGGAGCAGTCGGGCTGGGCCGCGGCCCTAACGCATCCCTGGCCTGGTCGTCCCGAGCCATGTACCCAGCCCCACGCGGCCCCACTAACGCCTGCGGCGGCTGCGGCCTCACCTCCCGATTTCAACGGGATAACGACTTCAGCAGGAAGAGCAGCTGACCCTCGGGCCCAACCGGGTGGGGGGCCCTGAGTCTGGGCCTGCCGGGTCCCTGCCCCCTGTCCCTGGCCTCTCCGTCCGCCCCGACCCAGGGCTCACAGGTCCTGTTCTGCGGGAGGGTCTCCCTCCCTGTCCGTGGGCAGGAGCAAGCTGCTTCCCGCGCGTCCCGCCGCGGAGGCCCAGGGAGGGCGGCGCGTCCCTCCGTCCTCGGGCTCCTGCAGAGCCCCGACGGCAGCCAGGACAGTCGGCTCTGCCGGGCTCTCGCTTGTGAGATTCGCAGGTTCCAGAGGGAAAGGGGTCCCGGGGGCTTCTCTGACGGGCCCGTTGGAATCGACGGGGCACCCAGGGAGGGACACCCGAAGGCAGGGACCTGCTATCAAGACGGCCCACACCTCGGGCTGTTCCGGGGCGACGTGAGTGACGCAGGCTCCTCCCCGCTCCGGGCGGGACAGAAACACCTCAGATGTAAAGCACGGCCTGTCGGCGAGGAGATGGTCTACGCCCAGCCCGGGGGCTCCTATGAGGCCGGAAGCCTAAGATGAGGGGGACGTACAGGTCCCCTGGCGAGGCCCAGTGCTCACCTGGCCCAGGTGAGTCTCCAGCACCTCCTGAGGCTCGGTGGGGCGTCCTGCACCCTCCCAGCAGGTCGTCTCAGCCCATGCGGAGGCCAGGGCTCCTCTCCCACGTGCCCGACCCTGCGGCCGGCCCTGCTCCCCGGGCACCGCCTGTCTGAGTGGCTTCGTGACCCCAGGAGGGCTGAGCTCCATGAGCAAGGACAAGAGGAGGGTCCACGGCCAGCTCCCAGCCCCAGGAGGGCGCCGCACCGCCCTCGCCAGGGCTCCTGGTCCAGCCACACTGCTGAACGCCAGGGAGGCCCCAGGACCCACACCTGTTCCTCACCTGCCCTCGGGCTGAGGATGCTCAGGACGCGCACCGGCCGCACCCCTGCGCCCCCTGCACCCCACCGAGGCCCAGCCTGTCCTTGCCCCCAGGACTCCTGCCGCTCTCGCCCCGTGGGCCTCACTGGCTTTGCGGGAACCTCGGGCGCCTCTCGAGCCCTCTCCAGTTCACTCTGCATGTTCTTCAGTGACTGTGACTCCACTCGGGGGACACCCTCGGGGCCGCTCCCCAGGGGTCTCAGGGACACACGGCGTCCAGTCGGTGGGCAGTGCGCCCGAGCAAGGGGCCGCCAGCCTGCCCCCCAGGGCGCCCAGCCCACGGACACGCAGACTCGCGCCTCCAGAGCACATGCATGTGGGCCTGTTGGCGGCCGTCCTGCACCGTCCCCGGGCCCCAGGTGGCCCCACACTCGGTCCCCGCCATGCCCAGCCCCAGCCCGCCGGGTTCCAGGCAGACCCAGAGGCCACCATGCCTCGGGGACCGAAGGGAGAGGTCCAAGCGAGCTCCTGGGGGAGGCAGGGGATGGTCATGGGGTCTCCTTTCCAGGTCCCCTGTTTGCGCGCTCGGGAGGAGCCAGCGCTGTGGCGCGTGGACGGGCAGGCCGCCGCCTGCCTCTCGGGTCACTGGAAGTTCTGGCGCCCGCGATCACCGGCCCTGCCCTCGGGCTCCCGGCGCAGGCTCGGCGCAGGTCCCTGCACGCTCCTGGGTGGCACGGCCTGCTCGGGCGCCCTCCTCCCCTCTTCCCTGCATTCCGGGCCCTGGCCTGCAGCCCTGAATTCCTGCCGAGCCGGAGGCAGGTACACAGCTCCGGCACTCGCCCTCGCCTGGCCTGTCCCGGCCTGAGCGCTGGCCCGGGGGCGCCACACCACGGCCTCCGCCGACGCTCCCGGGCTGTGACTCAGGAGCGGGCACGAAGCCCCTGGCTCCGCACCGGGAGCCCCCAGCCCACGGCCGCAGGCACCGACTCCCGATGGCCACAGACGGGGAGCTGGGCTCGTGCGCTGCTGCGGAGGAGGCCCCCGCGGAGGCCCGTCTGGGTGCCCCCGCCTCCAGGTGCGCCCCCAGCTGCCACCGTCCCGCGAATGCCGTCAGCCCGCAGGAATGTTCTCTGCGGGGAAGGGCCGAGATTAGCGAAGCTTCAGGCTGCAAAAGCGCAGCCTCCAAAATCAACACCTTCGGGAGGAATCAGCGGCGAGGAGAGGGAGGCTGCCAAACGGCCTCTTGGAGCCCCGGCCGCTCCCTCCGCAGAGGCCTTGCCCCAGCCTCCTGCCCTGGGAGCCTCCTGCCCCGGCGCTGCACCTGGGCACCCCGGGGCACGGGGGGCGGGGGGCACGGGGGGGCAGGGGAGCAGTCAGGGGCACCTAGGGCATGGGAGGGCAGCCAGGGGGGACGGGCAGCCCGAGGGGCCTGTGCTCACCCCCTGGGACCCCACTGGGCTACGCCGTCTTCTACGCAGTTCTCTGTCTCCTTAAATGAATAGACCCTGAACATACGGTTTTTTTCTGAATTGGGTCTTTTATCAAATTTTTGAGGTGGAGCTTGAGTCTCCCAACCCGTGTCTCCCCATCCACCACCATCTACCAGAAAGTCAGGCCCGCGAGCGATGCACCTGGTTCCAGCATGGACGGGTGGCTCCTTGCCCCACAGGCGGGGCGCGCAGGGTGGGCTCAGCCTCACACCCACCTGAGCCCGGCTTGGTGCATGAGGAGGGCAGGAAGCGCGGTGCCACCTGCCCGGGTCACAGGGTCGCGGCTGGAAGGTAGGACGGCGCCTGGCTCCCATCTGGTCCGCTGCAGGGCTCCTGGGCCGCAGGGCCTCGGCCCGTCCCGTTGGCGGACGCCAGTACCAGGGCTGCGAGTCGCGGCATGAACACGGGCCCTCCACCTCCGGGCCACTCGCCAGACCCGGGCGAGCTTCTGCCTGCCATCGGGCGACCCTACCCCTGGCCCCACACGAGCCAGCTGTGTGCCCGCTGCCGCCGACCGGGGCCCGCGAGGGGGTCCTTCCCAAGGTGGCCTACGGTTCTCGTGACACTTGGCACCAGACGTGCAGCTCTCGTGGGCACGGGTTAAAATACAAATAGACGTAAGATGCGTTTGGTAAATTCTGAAGGACGGGCCTGCCGCGTTGGGCCCCGAGGGACCGCCGTCATGTGTCCTGCCGCCTGCCCCTGGCGCCAGCACATGGCCCGCTCCGGGCCCTCCACAGCGTCCAGCCCACGGTGCAGTCAGGTCCTCAGGAAGATTCCCGAAGACGCTTCCTTTTCTTCCAACGCATTAGAAGCTTTCTCCGGCGGTGCCATGGGTGGGCACCGCGGAGCAGCTGCCTCGGCTCCCGCCGCCCCTGCCGCGGCACAGCACAGCCCCGGCCCGCAGCAGCCGGATGGGCCCCCTCCCGTGGCCTGAGTCTCCAGGCGGTGCTGGGCCACTTGTGCTCCAGGAGGCCCGAGGAGACGCGGGGTGCTCCTTGCGAGAGCACGGCCTTCCGGCCACGGTCAGCAGGCAGCCAGCAGCCCCTTCCTCCGTCCGACTGCGCACGCGCTGCAGCCTGGGCACAGTCCTGGAGGGCCGGCGTGGACGCGTGTCCACTGTGCTCTGATTTCAGGGAGCAGAAGGGACTGTGGGGAGATGTGCACGCGTGTGCATACGTGTGCACGCGTGTGCAGCCAATGTGTTTATGGGCACGCACATGCACGGGCAACACGTGTGCAGGGCGCTGGAAAAATTCAAAGCGGGGCATGCAGCGGTCACAGCAAGTTCAGGGTAAGAGGCGGAGCGCAGCTCGGGAGGAAGAGCTTCGAAGGGGAGGCCGAGGCAGCGTGCGCAGAAGATGGGACACGGGCCGGCGAGGACCTGGTCACACGGGAGGACGGGACCTGGGAGGAGGGAGCGGCCCGGGGGGCGGGGAGCTCTGGCCCTGGACCAGCACTGGCACCTCTGGTGTGCCCGAGGGGCCCTGGCCAGTCCTGCACGCACGGCCCCGGCACACGCACGGGCACCTCGAGCACGTGTCAGCCTCCCGTGCTCACCGACACTCGCGGTCCAGGACGCCGCACGCGCAGAACCGGGAGGACGAAAACACGCCGGGGACATGGGCTTGTCCAGAGCAGCGGAGAGCTGAGCCCCGGGGACGCGGCTGCTCCCATCCACTGCTCACCCGCCGCCGAGGTGCAGAAATGGGTCCCAGGTGTGCGCTCACTGCACCCATGTGCCCGCTGGTGCAGGAACCACCAGGCGTCCCACCCCGGAAACGCTGCCACACGGGAGGAGCAACAACAGGCTCACGATGACCCGCGGCTACGCCGTTCACAGGAGGGAGGTAAGCACAACTGGGTCAAGCATATCCAGACCGCAGGTAGACGGAGACTAGGAATGACACTGCCTGCCTTCCCGCCGTGGCCTCGCCACTCCAGAACGCTCCTGTGAGGCGTCCACACCAGGCAAGGGAAGCCTGTGTCACAGCACCCTGCAGAGTGCCGCTGGGTCCACAGCACAGGAGAGGGCCTGCAGGGCCCACACCACAGGACATGCCCTCCCAGGGTCTACACCACAGGACATGGCCTCCCAGGGTCTACACCACAGGAGAGGGCCTGCAGGGTCCACACCACAGGACATGGCCTCCCAGGGTCTACACCACAGGAGAGGGCCTGCAGGGTCCACACCACAGGACATGGCCTCCCAGGGTCTACACCACAGGAGAGGGCCTGCAGGGTCCACACCACAGGACATGGCCTCCCAGGGTCTACACCACAGGAGAGGGCCTGCAGGGTCCACACCATAGGACATGGCCTCCCAGGGTCTACACCACAGGAGAGGGCCTGCAGGGTCCACACCACAGGACATGGCCTCCCAGGGTCTACACCACAGGAGAGGGCCTCTCGGGGTCCACACCATAGGAGGTGGCCATGCTCGGGCTGGGAGCCAGTGGCCCTGCTGCTGCCCGTGTCTCCAAGGGCCATGCTGACCCGGGCTGCAGGCCTGGGGGGCTGTGCCCAAGGTCGGCCGCCCCCGTGGTGTGGGGCCTCCTCTCCGTGGGTCCCGTGGCCGAGGGGGGGCTGGGCCCAGAGGTGCGGGAGCTGGAGGTGAGGCTCGAGGTGCTCCCGGAGGGCGGCGGGCGGCCTGGGCTGGGCCTTCCCAGGGAAGCAGCACCTGGCAGACTTGGGCTGAGGGGACACCGTCAGCGGGGAATCCAGGTCGGCTGCCCGTTGGGCCCCACCCCCGCGGGGCACAGTGACCCACCTGGTGTGTTGAGTGCGGCCGGGGGGGTGGGGCCGCCGGGACGGAGGGCGGACACCTCGGGGCTGGCAGGTGCCGCGGGAGCGGGTCTTCCCGATGCAGACGCAGCTCCCGCCCGAGGGGTCCACGGCCCGCAGCCACTTGGCCTCGGCGCCCCCCCCATCCCCGCAGCCACCCGGCCTGGGGGGCCTGCCCTCAGGTCTGGGCAGCGGGGGTCGTGCCCCGGGCCCCCCACCCTGAAGGCTGGGCAGCGGGGGCAGCCTTGGGGGCGCAGCCACGTGGAGGGCTCGGGTCCTCCAGGACCTTCTGCTTCCCCGCAGGCTGCGTGTCCGGGTGCCACCCCTGTCCCCCCGGCCGGCTCTCACTGTGGTTTGAGGGTCACATGACTGGCCCCAAACCGTCCACACTGGACATAAAAATCCCACTAACGTTAATTCGGCTAATTTTCCAGCAGAGCTCGTCAAACCTTTTGCTGAATCTCACCGGTCCCGACTAGATGCTGTGATTAAATCCCCGCTTTCACAGGAGTCTCAGAGGAGGTTTGAAATCTGTGAACGATATAATAATGTGCGGTTTTATTCGAAGTGACGACAACTCCATTAAAATATTTAATCAATTGATAAAACATTCGACCCAAGCGTGGGGCAGTAAAAACACACACTTGGAAGCAACGAGATCCGCGGAACGCAGCAGCTCCCGACCCCATCCGGAGTTTTGTCTCCGCTGTTTTCCGTATTTATCTTTTCTTTCCTCCTCTTTTTAAACACTGCCCATTAGATGGATTTAAAATCCAACCAAGGCATTTTTTTTTAATGAGAAGGGACCGTTTTATTTTGAAGAGCGGGGGATTTAGAGCGGAGACTCCCCCCGTGGGGCCCCGATCAGCTATTGATTAGGGGAGGGTGGCTGGCCTCAGTCGTCAATGCCAAATAATAGCCCTTCAGCTAAAGGCCTGCACCGAGCACGTTTGTTATCGGGAAAGTGAAGCCGACCTTTTGTGGGAAACCAAAGGCCCTGGTCTCTCTTGAGGAGAAGAAATGTTAATTGAAACATTCCTCAGATAGGTAAAGGCTCCGAAGCCGCTTGCCATAAAAGGTGTGAAATCACAGAGGCAGGGAAGAAAGGCCGGGCCTCGGAGTGCGCGGCCTCTCCCAGGCTGATTAGCGGCCCATTCACAGCCGCCAGGGCCGCCAGGGGCCTTTCAGCCTCAGGGCCGCTGACAGCTGGGCCCGCGCCGGGGGACTCGGATTAACTGGCCCCTAGAGGGGGAAATTAAAACAAAGGCCTTCCCGTCAGATGCAGAGAAATGAAACCTGATGAGCCGCGGACGTCTACCTCCAACGCCAACAACCTCAGAAAAGTCACCACGTCGGGCCGTGAAGTTTCTGAGAAGCAGGGGACGGGGACTTCCTCTCCGAGCATCTCTGCAAACCCAAAGGTGCACACCCGCCCGCCCAGAGGCAAACCTGAGCCACCCCAGCTGGGCGGAGCTGGGATGAGGAGGAGAGGAGGGGGAGGGGAGGAGGGGAGGAGGGGGAGGAGGAGGAGGAAGGGGGGAGGAGGAGGAGGAGGGGAAGAGGAGGGGGGAGGGGAGGAGGAGGAGAAAGTGGAGGAGGAGGAGGGGAGGAAGAGAGGAGGAGGATGACCGCCCTGGGGCAAGGCCGCCCTCCCCGCCCCACAAGCACTCCCATCCTGGGGCCTCCCTGCCTGGGTCCTCGAGGCCCCCACAGCGTCTCTCAGGCCGCCGCAGGGCGGGAAGGAGCACACCTGCCCCAACACCCGCGAGGCTGAGGTGTCCTAGAGGCCGTGGGCGCCGGCGCTGGCTGTGGGGACAGTCCAGGTGTCCAGATCTGCGGGGCGACACGGCCCGGGCCCAGCACCGCGTCAGGAAGCGCCAACAGATGGGGGAGGCCGCTGGGCTGCAGCGCGGACAGGAGGCCCTGGGAGGAGGACAGGGGACGCGAGGGCACAGTGGCTCGCAGCAGGCAGCTGATGGTTCGAAATGTGTTCACTGATCACCTACAGCATCGGCAGCACAGCCATCATGCTCAGCACCGTGCCCTCCTCTCCAGACACCCGACGTTTCCTTAATGTACGATGTCTGTCCTGCTAAAATTAAATGAATTGCACATTTGGGAATTTTATCTTATTTTTTAAGATTTTATTTATTCATGAGAGACACAGAGAGAGGCAGAGACACAGGCAGAGGGAGAAGCAGGCTCCATCCAGGGAGCCTGATGGGGGACTCGATCCCGGGACCCCGGGGTCTCGCCCTAAGCCGAAGGCAGACTCCCAGCCCCTGAGCCATGCAGGGGCCCCTGCACAGTTGGGAATTCAAACTGAAAACTCTCACTTCTCCTAAGAAAGGAGAGTCTCTCGGAAACCGGCGTGTCTTCGGCTCCACCCCCAGGGGCTCGGCCCCACGTCCACCCATGACCCCACCAGGCTTGTGGCCCAGCTCCCGCCTTCCGGGCACAGGAACCACCAGGACCTGGCTGCAAGAGGGGTGGTCGCATCCACTGGGCCCCGAGCCCCCAGGCCCACGTGGCCTCCCGGCGCTGACCGTGGGTAGACGCCGCATGGCCCCACCCAGGAGCGGCTCCCCACGGAGCTCCCCAGCACCAGAGGCCTTCGGCAGCTTCCGCAGGACCCGAGACGGCGGCAGAGGAAACCAGGGGCTGCGTCCCCGAGCGAGTTCCAACGACGACAGCGGAGGTCAGTGTCCCGGTGAGCCCGACGGCGCTGCGTGTCCCCCCAGAGCCGCCCGACGCCGGGGTGAGGCCTTGCGGGCCGTGCTCCTTTCCGAGGTTGGTTCGGGCCATGCGGAGCCCTGTGCCCACTGAAGCCCCAGGAAATGGGGTTGTGCTCTGGTCACAGGGCTGTGTGGAGCGACCCTGGCAAGGACGACGGCGTCCACGTCCGACGTCGCCACAGACACATGGGGAAGCACCGCCGACCCGCACGGAGGACCTGGGACGCCGCGGCCACGGCTGTGCTATCCACACTCGGGGCGCCCGCCTCGGCTCCAGGTGCCTCCACCTCCCCACGCGGTTCTCTCGGGCCAAACGGGGAGGGGGTGGCCGGGAGGTGGGATCCCCGAGGAGAGGCCAGCGGCGCCCAGAGCCTGGCCCGGGCCGAGAGCCCACGATGGTGGCCCCAGGGCCTGTGCAGGCCCCGCAAGTTCCCGCCCTGAGCGCGGCCTGGCGCCGGGGCAGAGGGCGGCAAGAGGAGGGAGCGTGGGCACGAGGCCCCCGGGTCCCTCTGCTGGGAGCCGCGGAGCCGAGGGAGGCCTGGCCCTGCGTCCGCGTGGGGGGGTCCAGACAGGGCCAGCTCTCGCAGCCGCTGGCCCGGAGACGCGCTCCTCGGGCGCCCAGCCCGCGGGCCCAGGTCTCCAGAGCGCTCTGGAACCCGTCCAAAGCATCCGCCGTGCGTGTGTGTCGCCTTGATGAGCAGAAATAAAGGCGGACCATTGTTTGCACGCTCCTACATGTATCCCATTTTCTAGCCCTGGAAAATCAGCCTCGGGAAATAAGCCGAGCGCTAGCAAAGAAAATATTTTCAAAACAAGTTCGTGCCGGCTTTATCCAGAAAGCAGTTTCGCCGTTTCAAACATTCAAATAAACATTAAAAGGACAAAAACATTTGAAAAGCCATGTGAGTTAAAGGCAGGTCACGCAGGGCAGGTAGTGCCTCGAGGGCAGAGACGCGCGGAGCCGAGGCCACGGGATGCAGCCCCGCGTGTGATCCGCGGCCTCAAGCAGACGACGCGCGTGTGCGGAGAAGCCGGCAGGTGCGCGGCCAGGCCTCCCCGCGGTCGGGGCACCGGCTGCTGCTTGGAGGTGGGACGTTGTGTTTTCACAGGGAAACTCATGCCTAGATGATGGTTCCTCAAGGAGGGAACCCTCCTGTCGGAGATCGGACACGAGCTCGTGGCCGTGCGCGGGGGACAGAGGGAGGAGCCCGCGGCAGGGAAGCAGCTCCGCGGGGACGAGCGGCTGCGGAGGGGCCCCCCAGCTGCGGGCCTCTCTGCCCTTCCAGAGGCACGTCCGGCCCGGGCTCCTTCCAGCAGGCCCGTTGGTGACAGGCCACGGAGGCTCCTCACGCCCCCGGCCCGCGCCGCGACCCCAGCACGGCGGCGGGACGGAGGAGGTGGCCCCAGCGCGGGGACGAGAGGCGAGCCCCTGCCCGTGGTGAGAACAACCAGCTTCACACAACGGGGCGACGGGCCACGTGTCAGCCCGAGCGTCGGAGGCTTTAAAAAACCCCACGTTTGGGATCGACCGACGTCGATTATTTAAACACAAATTGAATTAACAAAATATTCAGCATATGCTGCCTCCAGAGTCGGCTAAATCCGCCCGCGCCACCGCGAGGGGCGAGGCCGCTGAAAGGGAGGCCGAGGTGGTCAGCGCGCGGCCCGCGCCGATCCCCCAAAGGAACGTGTGATGAATGCTGCCACCAAATGTGCCTCTACCTGACCCTGATCTCATCAAATCCCGCTGCCACCATCTGCTGTGTTTAATTCCTCCGCAATATTTGTATTTGCTGCCTCGCCCGACAAAGGCGGGGGCGGGCCCGGGATGCTCCTGCTCCCGCGGCGCTGGTTGGCCGGCGGGCCGCGGCCAGAAGGCATCTGTTGCTGCTTCTCCTGCAGCATCTGCTACTATTTCTCACTTACCCGCATGCTGTGGGGTACGGTTTCTCCCCAAGGTGGGCGGCCGCGCTCGCTGTCAATCCGTCATTGTCCGCCCCGCCTGTTCCCACGGCGCCGGCCTCGTTACCATGCTGCCGGCCTTTGCTGCCTGGCTGTCTGTAATCCAAGATATTGTGTCACTGGGCGATGCCATTAACCCCTTTCCTGCGCATCAGGACATTCAATTAAGCCCGGCAGGGGAAGCAGATTGGGAGGGAGGGCCGTCTGCTGGGGGGCCGCGCGGAGGAAGCCGGGGAGCTCGCGGCCGCGGCCGGCCGCCCGGGGCGCCGTGGGCATCGCGGGCTCCGAGGGCGACGCTGCGGACGGGGCAGCGTCCCGCGCTCACGGCCTCCCCCTACGACGCTTCAAAGGCCGCATTGTCTCCCTCGGGTCCCGGGGCCGCCGCGACGCGCGGCGATAAATGTGTGCGTGGGCCCGTTATTTATGTGTCTGATCTGGGAGCGCCTCTGCTGATGGGGTGCGCCCGGCGGCCGGTGCTCGGAGCGCCCCAAGCTGTCACCTCCCCTCGCCCTTCTGTCGCAGCCGCCCGGGCAGGGCCTCGGCGGGGACTTGGGGAGGCGACATACAGCCCCGGGTCCTTGGGTGCCGCTGCCCTCGTGGCCCTGCCTGCACTCAGACCCCGGGAGCCCCGCCTCGAGGGTCGGCCGAGCGCCAGCCCCCCCTACTCCCCCCATCGTGCCCGGGTGGGTGGGCCGAGCTCGCGGCCCCCACCCCAAGCCCCCTCCAGGGCACCTGCAGCAGAGACGCTCGGCCCCCGCCTCCGTGGCCGTTTTGGTTCGGGGCCGAGGGCCGAAAGCCCACAGGCTCCCTTTGCCATCGCATCCTGAGCACCCCCAAAGCTGAACCGGTGAGAACATCCTTGCGGCCCTCACTAGGCCGTCCGGAGGCCCTTCTAGTAATTCCGGGTGTTCCTGTTGGCAAATAACCGGCAATTTGTAAAAAGGGGGGGGGATGGTGGTCGAAGGCCCAGTGTGTCCCTGGCGGGACATGAACGACTCATTCCTTTATGCTTGTGCCGAACCCACGGAGATGCCGCGGTCACCCCCCTTTGCGATGGCGGGTGCCTCTGGGGGAGCTCCCGACTCGCCCCGCGTGGGCGCCCCAGACGGCGGGAGGGGCCCTGACCGCACCGGCCTGGCGTGTTCCCCGAAGCCTTTGGGGTCACACAACAGAAACGCACACGACATCGGGAACTCACAGCCGGCGACGCTGGCAAAGCGCAAGAAACTGACACAGACCCTGGTGTCCTGTGGCGTGGGCTGAGCCTCGCCCGGAGCCTGAGGGAGCCACCGGGAGCCTGAGGGGCCTCACCTGGAGCCTGAGGGGGCCTCGCCCGGAGCCTGAGGGGCCTCGCCCGGAGCCTGAGGGGGCCTCGCCCGGAGCCTGAGGGGGCCTCGCCCGGAGCCTGAGGAGGCCTCACCTGGAGCCTGAGGGAGCCTCACCCGGAGCCTGAGGGGCCTCACCTGGAGCCTGAGGGGGCCTCACCCGGAGCCTGAGGGGGCCTCACCTGGAGCCTGAGGGGGCCTCGCCCGGAGCCTGAGGGGCCTCACCTGGAGCCTGAGGGAGCCTCACCCGGAGCCTGAGGGGCCTCACCTGGAGCCTGAGGGGGCCTCGCCCGGAGCCTGAGGGGGCCTCGCCCGGAGCCTGAGGGGGCCTCACCCGGAGCCTGAGGGGGCCTCGCCCGGA